GCAAGTATTGTGGTTAATGCAGACATGAATCCTTGCAAAAAGTTTTCAGTTTTGTTGCCAGAAAAAAAGGGGAAAACCCCTATTATTATTGGAGCCGATATCGTTCATGGTCAGACTGATGCCAACCCACTAAAGACAAAGATTCGCCCCCTGTGTAGCCTTAACATATTGTTGGGGCAAGTGCTGTTAGCGAGCAGCACCCGTGAAGGCCGTCACGGCACACGAGGGGGTGGGTGGCCAACACCAAACCCGGCCGTGTCTGTGTCTCCCCACTGGCGATGTTTACTACACACACCGCACCAGCCACTCATTTATGAAGCTGAGTCGACCTAGGAGAGGCCCAAGACAGGTTCAGATAGCATCATCGTCACTGGTGTTAGCCGTGAGCGGGAATCGAACTTGTGTCGCTGGGTTCGTGGTACAGCGAGATAACCGCTACACTACTGCTCCCCATCCCACCACACGCACCCACGGTGTCCCATGTTTAATGTATGCTGCCCCATCTCTCGGGAGTTGCGAAGGGTAGCAAGAAACAGCTCCGTCGGCAATATTGCACGCCGGCCTTCCCGTATGCTGGCGTCTGCATCGCGACGGGAGGTGCGCTGTGGTGCACACCGCGTTTGCCGTTCCGCATTTAACGATGGGTGCCTTGGTGGGGGGGGGGGATACAGGGCAAGCTACGCGTAACATCCGCATTGTTACGGAATTGCAGGTAGGATAAGCTGACTGCCCTTTAGGTCTCTTATGAAGAAAATTGTGTGCATGTGTGTGTGTGGTTTAGATGGAAAGATCGGCGTATACGAGTGTTTTTTTTTATCACCCGCGTGTGTTCTGCGGTGAACTTGGCTATGCTCACGAAACACCAGCGACCACTCGTGCTTCGCACCAAAAAGCGCCGAGGATGGATTCCCGATTCGGGTGGCATTTTCTCTATGAAGTGTATATGTTCTCCCCCTGTTCTACATGGGGTTTCCTCCGGGTGGGGGGGGGGGGGTCGATTCCCAACCGTAGCTCAAGAAACCGTTACTATGTAACAGGTGTTACCCAAACATCACAAATGCTGCAAATATTTCGTGCCAAAAAAAAGCACGAGGCAACATCGCCACCGACTGCGTGATACATAAAAAAACAACACACTTGGCAGGACAATATTGTGTAAAACTCCTGGCACTCCGCATCCATACTGTGACCACGTTTCTATAGAGCTACGTTTTTAATACATCTGTTCACAGTTTCCCACGGTGAAGAAAACATGGGCCCGTGGATTGTTTAAAAGATGGTCCTCCTGTGTTCCGTTTCATTCACCCACGACCACCATGACCTTTACCGTGGCATTGCAGATAAAAGTTTTTCCTGTAATTAGCGCTGTATTAACAAAAACCGTACCCATCATTTGCGATATAAGTAATCTCTCCGAACAAGACCAGGCAGCCAAAAAATGCCTGGCCTTCACAACGATTATCACCACAAGAGTGACCGAAAAATGTACTGTTTGTTTTAATTAAAATGTTTCAATTGACGATTGAGAAAACGGACCAGGTGGCCGAGGACACATAGGGGGGGGGGGGGTTTGTGAATCTCTGGCAACTCCTTCTACAAGAATGACTGTGTAGCCACAGACGACGATGGTCGTGATGCTTTGTTAATTGCAATTTACTGTCAAGTAAGTTAATGAGAAGAGAGAACACTGAAAAAAAAGCGGAGTCAATTGGAAATCACTGATTCCATGGAAGAAAAGTGAATTCTCAATGTAATCTCACAAGTGGAGGTCGTGCATTCTCGTCCACCTTTTCAAGAAATATGAACGGTTACTTGAAATTCAATTGAAAGTCCTTTTCAAGTGACTTTAATTTCGATGTGGACTTTCTCAGGAAAGTGAATTACCCATTACATCACAAGGCAAAGGCAATAGGTACTCACTACGAAGCAAATCGAACGCAGTGTCTTTGGGTGATTTAATTACAGCAAAGTGAATTGAAAGTGATCTCAGACAGGAAAGATATATAAAAGGGACGCCTAAGATGTGAGAAAATATTACCTGAAACAAATCGATTTTAAATGCATCTCAAACGTGAAAAGTTGACCCGTGGGTAATTTATTGACAGAAATATGAGATTGAAACGGATCTTTCAAAAAGGCAATTGAAAGTCACCGAAAATAAAGAAAGCTATATCAACGGATAAAAATAAAATGCCAGTTTATAGTTTCCATCGGTGATTTCATGACAAAGTCAACATAAAGTTGACAATAAAATGTTCTTAAAAAGATTTCCGTTTAACTCCCACGTCATGCTGCTGCTGATACTGCATAGGCTTTCTCTGCTGTGATGTCCCGCTGCCCCAATGGGATTTATGTCAAACAACCGCGTGTCGTCCGGCACCGTTGTCCAACGTTTTTTGCTCCGCTTTGCTGGGAACTTCTTCAGGCACTGAATTCAGGGAAGTGATTTTGGGTTTGGGAAAATCTGAATCAGACGTCCAGTAGGGGTGGGTCGGCAAGTTACAACAAACAATTGAAAAACACGATAGGAGTACAAAATAGAGAAAAATGTAAGCAAGTCTATAGTTAAAAGTAATTAAAGAATAACTTAGAGACTGTCCAAATTTCCAACACTAAATGCAAGCTTGGTCGAGGCAGCGAAAACAACAAAAACAGTCTCAGAGCACACCAAGTCAATTGGGGGAGGGGGGGTTATACGGAACGTTGGACAACTTTGCCTATCAACATGTGGTGCAGCCCGACCAGAGGTCAGCCGTTCCATCTCCCGGCGCGGCAGCGGCGGTTGAAGCGACAGCGAACCAGTCGCCGAAATCCCCACTCCCATTAAAACTAAAAACATTTTATATAACCAGGTAAGGCCCACTGAGCTATGAAGCCCTTTTTCAGTAGCGTGACCTGGTTATCACAAATGATAGCTCAACGAAGTGGCTTATCATCGTGTGGACATTTATAGCGGGCCAAATACTCTAAACGTGTGATGTTGATTCTAAATGTTGAGGGAAAAACCGGAGGACTCGGAGAAAAATCCACGCGACCACGGGGAGAGAGACACGCAAACTCCAAATATATAGCAGGCGTCAGGATCGCGATTGAACCCACAACCTCTTGCATACCAGGCGAGGTAGTTGATATCTCGCCACCGGTGCAGCATGTATATTTTTTCGTCATGTATTTATGCAAATATTTCTGAACTGACAATCCCCAAGACGGAACGTCGAACATATATGGAACACGTGAGAACTGTTCTTTCATATCTTGTGTAAGATGCTTGCGGCTTGAACCCAAGATATCAGAGATCCTGAGATGAACGATTTGACACAGGCCTTCGCTGTGAGCCCCTACCGCTAGCTGCTGTTCTGCTTGACTCGTCGCCATCGTCCAGTTTATGTTTGTGCAATGGCAGGTGCGGTGCAAAGCAAATCGGATTGCGAAGTGGGCAAAGGCTGCTGGAGACATTTTAAAAATCAATTTAATTATTTCCACGTTTTAATTGAAACCAAATATGGCCATGTAAACTCGGTAAGCGCGGCACCAGGGGTTTCTGTCCAGTGTCAATCTCACGTCACCTCGCACGTCCCATAGCAGCATTGCCACTTGCACCCTTGTTAAGTCCACCAAACGTTCCAGTGTGGCTCGGTAAAGAAAGGCTGTCCCGGTGTCGCCTCCAAAGCATTTGTGAAAAAAAAAATCGATTTTTGTTGTTGGGTTTTAACGTTTTCTTTCTGGCTTGAAGCTCAAAATCGTTATACGAGGGCAGGGCTACCTGGGCCGTGGGCAGAGTTGGCAGAGAAGTGGGTGGGGCCAATGGGCAGGATTGTGGAGCCAACGTTGCAGTGAAGCCACTGTGTGGGTGGGGCTAGTGGCTGAATAGGCGTGACCATGTAAAAGTGGGCGAGAATAATGGAGGGAGGGGTTGCCAGCTCTCCATGCGTCCCTGTTGAGCCGCCCAGAAATATATCAGCATGAATTTATTGCATCTCACCACGTGATATCTCCTGTTTCATGACGTTCCTCATTTCTGTCTCACCACTGTAAGTATATGTATGTTGAACTTCTTTCACACCGTATATAGCCAACCGTGCTAATCGGGGGTGCAGGGGAAGGGCAATAAACTAAACACAAAAAGCAGTTTTAAATAAATGAGTTATCAATCTAGATGAGTTAAAAGTGCATATCTTCATTGACTTCCTAATATCGGAAGGAAGAGCATTCCAGACGGCCGCGATGCAAACTATACTACTTTGTTTCCTTGTCGGTATCTACTTGCATCCTGTGTGGTGTTTATTCTCACGTAATCTTCCTGTACCGCGTCACATTGCCATCGCATCATCTCTGCCACGCTCGCATTTTTTTTCTCCATCTGTGCAATTCCTCTGCCTATCACTTGTCCACCACTGCTGTACCCTAATTTGCAATGAAACTAAGACTTACACAGATGTGACAATACGGAAAGGAAAAAAAAACTGAACGGCCACATTCTGAGCCACCACTCCCAAGTCGGACTGTGGACTTTTCAATCGCCCCACGAACATGTAGAATCAACACTCGGTTCGACTCCCTCCTTGCCACTGGGTGGCACGTGAAACACAAGAAAACACTTGACAATCACTGTGCTTCTTTTAAAAATTGAATTGTCAAGAATTGCCACGTGTCCCTCCTGTGTCGCACTCAATCCCCTGTAGCATGCAACCTTACGCGGATAAACCAAACACGCAGACAAAGAAATAAATCTGGCCCCTTCGTCTATCCACTGCTGGCTTCAAGGCCTCCCCATGCTGCGTCGGCCACGGGAGTTCGTCGACCGTACTTCACCAGCATGGCCGTGACATCCACGTGGCTAAGTTCTGGACTAAAACCTACCAAAGTTTACCGTCGACTCGCCTAACCTAACGACCACGAGTCAGGCCGGGTGACCACGCGGGGGACCATGCCCAGCCCGGTGGTGTCCTTTCGTGCGGTGGGGGTGGGCAGGTGGGGCAGGTGGGGCAGGGGTTACTCACTTGCACACCTGTTGATGGAGGGCTCTCGCTGCTCGTAGTGCCCCTGGGGACACGCGGCAGTGCACCGGCCCTGCTGCCGCATGCCCTTGCGCTCCAGGAAGAAGAAGTAACGCTGCTCGCAGCTCAGGCAGCCGTTCACCTCCGAGCAGCTGCGGCAGCCCCTGGGACAGGACGCGCTCACCACGGCCGCCGCTGCCCCAGCCGCCGCTGCTGATGGGACAGAAAGCGCAAGCGACCAGGTAAGGCCCACTGCTATTGACGCCATGGTGGCGAGATGTTAAATCCCTTGACTGGTATGCAGGAGGTCGTAGGTTTGATCGCGACCATGTCCTCTGTATATTTGGAGATTGTGTGTCTCTCTCCCCGTGGTCGCGTGGATTTTTCTCTGGGTCCTCTGGTTTTCCCCTCCACATTTACAATCAACATCACGCGTTTAGAGTATTTGGCTGCTAAACATTTCCACGTGATGATAAGTCGCTTCGTTGAGCTATGTGGCCAGGTTGCTTCTGAAAAAGAGCCATATCGCTCCGTGGGCCGTTCCTGGTAAAATAAAAAAAAAAAGTTTCGTTTTTTTATAAAGATAACTCTTTAGAGCAGCCAAATACTCTGAAACTTGTTCGCTTGGTGCAGCCCGGGTCGCCCACCACCTGCCTGGCCTGGTTCGACCCTAGTACACGGTGAGAATTGGCACCCGCGTTTTCTGGCGCCAGGAATTGATTTTCAGCGAGAATCTGGTGCCGGTGTTGAGTTTGGATTTTTTTTTATTCCTGTCTTTAACTGCGTGGTTTTGATAACGGACGTTGGATGAGAAAAACATACTAAAACGTGTCTGGGGTTGTTCTGGGGGGGGGGGCGGGGGCAACCTATTTTGGTGCAGCTCTGCAATTGCTTTATGAGGCCACTGCTCAGCAGAAGGGCCTCCACTAGAGGGAGCTCGAGAGCCCCTCTACACTGGTAATTGGCCTACTCCTCCACACTGGCTAGACGAGTTGGAAAGGGTGGGATTACCAAAACTTTACCCCCTACCCAGAGTTGAGCTCGCGACTGTTTGACCGTGAGCTGGGCCCTTTAACCACCACGGCCTCGTAGTTACATCATAGACATGGGCACAATTGTGGTTGAACTGTGGTGTGTTATTTCTCCTGCGCCCGCAGTCTTCAACAAATCCCCCCCCCCCCCCCATTCAAGTCCGGGCTCAAGACTTCCCCCCCCCCCCCGTTCACTCTAACTGACCACCTGTCCCTATAAAACGCCGAAGCCCACGACTTCTGTGCAGCATCTCATTGAAACGTAGTCTCAATTAGGCGCTGCTTATGTCCACCGGAGAGCATCCGAGTGGACGCTGACTGCGGAGATGGAGCGATGAAATAAGCTTGCATCGCGGCATGGTGAGTGATGGCGGCGGCTTGGAGAGGCCCTCCATCTAGCAGCGGATTGACCATGGATGCTGCTGATGATGAAGATGCCTTTATGAACAATGATGGAGAAGTCCCTCCGGAAATATTTATGCACACCACATTCAGTATATGTCTCGCTATGAAACGAAACTATTTATTTAAACTATAAACATTATTTTCCAGGCAAGGCCCACTGAGCTATATATAGCCACAAATGTGGAGGGAAAACCCGGAGGACCCAGGACAAATCCACGCGGCCACAGGAACAGCGAGATGCAAACTCCAAATATACAGCAGGCGTCAGGGTCGGGATCGAACCCACACCCCCCGGCATACCAGGCGAGGTTGTTAACATCTTGCCACCGTGGCGCCCACTACGTCTGTGACTACCAAAACGTGTACCTACCCCAGTCAACCAGGGACCTGCAGAAAAATTCGGGAAAGAAATGAATAGCTGCTTTTGGCTGATATAGGAGTGGTGTGAAAAGCACATTACATTGAAGATGGATTACCAAATGCCATGACAATCGATGAACTGTTATAGTGTTCAGGTGTGTAAAATTACCTTATTTATGGACATGGGCAAGTACAAGCTTTTGCCAATCCTCTGCAAAATGATGGTGGCTGGATGTTAACTACTTCGCCCGGTATACAGGAGGTCTTGAGTTCGACCTCGATCCTGACGCCTGCTGTATATTTGGAATCATGCACGTTCTCTCTCTTTCCCCGTGGCCGCGTGGATTTTTCTCCAGGCCCTCCGGTGTTTCCCTCCACATTTAGAAACACGCGTTTTTGAGTATTTTTGGCTGCTATACATTTCCACGTGATAAGCCGCTTCGTTGAGCTATCGTTTGTGGCCACGTCATTCTGAAAAAGATCTATGTAGCTCAGTGGGTCTTACCTGGTAAAATAAAAAAGTGTTTAGTATAGTTTTATCTGTATGCTTGGGAGAGCGTTGGGGTTATTTTAACCATACTTCACCAGTCTGGTTATTGTGGGCTGGCGAAGGTGGAGAGCATAGACGTGGAGCACAGTAGACAGAGTTAATTTCCCTGCTTTGCCCCTTCCTGCCCACTACATATCCCCGCAGCAGCAGCCTATAGCACCCTGCTGTACATGGAGGTCGCCCATCAGAGCGCTATCCAGGCTCAACGTTGCTTGTTTTACGATATCTGTTGATAACTTAAAGATGGACAAATGTTTGGCTGATAGCAGTCGTGAAATATCTCCAAAAAACAAGGGCTTCGCACGGCAACATCTCATCGACATGGGAGACTCATTATGATATTCTTCTTTGTTCTAAGTCCACCAAGTCGTGCTCTGTGTTGTCAGGCGTGGGCTGTCAGGGTGCCTTCCACATTTTACTACTCACGGAAAAAGTCAACCCGTTCATGATATAATCGTGGAAAAACCATAAAACTATATTCATGACCCAACTGGACATACTTTGGAACAAAGAAAGTCAGAATTCCACTATATTTTTTCACCGCATTTCGTAACAATGGATCTACATGGGCCGGCGTCGGCTACCTGCAGTGCCGGAGCCGCACGTGACTCATTCAGGAACTACCACCGTCTCGTATTCACCCACAGTGCATTGCGGCTATGGAAATATTGAGGATTTGTTTTTACCTGGATTCGAACAAAAAGTATCTCCTTGTTATGTTGGTTTTCAACCCCTGTGCATGGGTCCTTAATGTTTTATCCTGGATATTGAGGCCCAAATCTTTCACTGAAAACCATGAATCACTCACTCACACCATTTACTGGCTTCCTGACATTTATCCTCCCGTTCATTGCATTTACTGATATCACTTTCACAAACCGAACACTCATTCATGGCAAGGACAAATATTCCAGTGCAGGACCCTCCTGAAAACGAGCCTTGATACAAAAATGACTCAATTACGATACAATGTATGTTGCACTTTTTTCGCACCGTACATAGACAACTGTGCTTATCAGAGGTGCGAGGGAAGGACAACGAAATAAACACAAACATCAGTTGTGAAGAAATGCGATTTCAACACAGATGATTTAAAAGCGCATAGCTTACTAATGCCGGAAGAGCGTTCCAGACGGCTGCAGAAGCGCATCTGAAAGCGCGCGATGCGGTGACCACCGTCTTTGTTAGATGGCCAGCAGCCAAAAGCTGCTGCTGCGAGGATGATCAGAGTTGGCGTGGTGGTTTACACTCCTTGACGAGATCAGCAAGTTACTGTGGTTCGTTTGTGACCGTTAACTTCAGATTATCCGGGACCGTTAACTTCAGATTATCCGGGACCGTTAACTTCAGATTATCCGGGACCGTTAACTTCAGATTATCCGGGGTAACGGAGGGGAGCCACGGCCCGGATAAAACGAAAACAGATGTTCATGAAGTTCAAGTTGAAGTTCATTTAGTTTGACCGGGCGAGAACTCAAGAGCAGAATCGTCTCGTGTGCAAGAGTGATGCCGGGTCAGTGACAAAACCAATAGCTCGTTAAATGTATTTAATTTAAACAATCCAATAGCATTATGCAATCACCAATGTGAAGAACAACCAAACACATCCTTGTACACGAGCTCAAATACATTACGCTCTCATCTGGCAATACTCAAAAAGCCAAAGTCAGTCCGGTAGAAGATGTTTGAATGCTGTCTAGATTTTTTGCTGTGGTTTACAATGGACGGTGCATTTATATACTCGCTGTGATAAAACCAAATGTGAGGTCACCTTTCATCGGCACATGCAACGCTTGGTGTTCAAATGCACCGCGCCGGATTTGGGACATCTTCTGCTTTGAAAAATCATTGCACCGAACCTAATCGGCCCAGGCATGTTTGAGTTAGCGCCTCGTCTCCCACGATGGGACTGCCTTTAACAATCGACTTCACAATGTATACCTGCCAACCGCGTTTCATAGATCACCCCCACAGCGCGGGAGCCGATGCAGTTTGAGCTTGGTGCCAGTGGGCTCTGTGCCAGAGGTGTTGGAGCATTCCAAAGGGAAGATGATCAAATGGACGCATTGGCGGCACACCGGTGCAGCGTAACAACAACACCGGTTTCAGCGTAACAAGACGCCGGTCCTCATCAAATAGTCTGACGAAGTCGCTGTTTGCCCCTGAGTGAGGTGCAGGACTCTCCATCAGATATTGCACTTTGATGCCGCAGCAGCAGCTGCTTCACCATTCGAACTCGGGGCGGTGACGCCACCACGAGTCGTAATCTTGTGATGCCACCATCCGCCAAGGAATGGTTCCGGAAATGAATCGAGGAACCGATTCGTTCCGAGTCTAGGGCACGAATCAAATGTTGCCTTTGGAACACGGAGCAGGCAATGGTCATCAGGCTGGGTGCTGCCATACGGCGACAGACTGCGACGCTTCGCGTTCAGCCGCTCGTATAAACGTTCCGCCTTCGACATCACCAGAACATATTTTGACGTAGGACCACCCCACAATATTTTCTGACGGTAGTTTGCGAATAATAATTATTGCGACAATTTCGCTTTTTTGTTTTCAATACGGTGCACCGATGTACCGCCAATACGTTCAAATGTAGTTCGTGTGCAGCTTAACGCTGTGTGGGTAAACGGTCTTTCCAGCCCTCGAATCCCCCACTCGGGGCGACTGCTGGCGGAAGGGCCTTCACTAAAGGTGGTCTCTTAGACAGCCCCTTTCGATGGTATTTGGCCTACTCTTCCACGCTAGCCTGACGTGTGAAAAGAAAAGGGAGCTACCCCACCACACTTTACCCCCCCCCCCCACGCCACCACATGCGACCTGACTGTGAAGAGTTCAATGTTTTGTTGCTCAAATCCCTGTTCAGAGTCGTGGACCAGTGGTGTGAATGTCACATTGCTATGACAGGAGACGAGTCTATCCATAGGACAACCACTGGTGACTTGCCCACAAAGTGGTACTCATGAGAAATGAGAATAGTTTTCACCCTTTCTGGAAATACAACGTGAAGTGTTCAGATGTTCAAACACCAAATATAAACCTTTTGCAAGGAATCAAGTCTGCACTAACCACACGTGCTTGTGGTGAATATGAAAACATGTTCTGGTAAGATATGCAATGTATTTTAAACTGATTGGCCTACACCAGAAAGAGCCTTCTTTGTGGCCTAGTCTCACCACCAGTGTCAGACCAGAGAACGCCAATAGGCGAACAGTACAAAGACAATTCCACACGTATTAGAGCATTGACAGCTCGGGGCGAGCAGCCTTTTTATCAATACCAGAGGGATGATGACGAGGGGAGGTAATCCCCAAACAGGACTCGAACTCTCAACCTTGTCATTGCGAGCATTGCTCGCTGCTACCGTAGACACAGCTGGACAGATGACAACCCTGGGTCGCATATCTCACGTGGCCCAACATTTTTACATCGGGACAACATCCAGAACGCTGTATAGAGTTCGATATTAATTAATTGTCGTCATCATCACCACCACCATTATGGTCATCGTTATCAAATTCCCCTTCTATTGCTTCGTGAAAGCGAATCCATGATTATAAGTCCTCCTATAGCTACCTTTGAATTGAGATGCGTTTTTAAAACGTGAAGGCATTTCGGCCACTGCTATTTCGATAATTATATTATGTGGGCAATTGTAGCAATGCATGAAGGTACTTCTACTGTACCGTTATTCTCCTGATTACAAGGGACACTTGTTCCACTCGATCCTAAAGCAAAAGTTAGGGGTTTCGTCTTATACAATCTGGTGGGTGTGTGTGTGTGCGTGACTTAATTTGTGTTGGGAGCGGCAGTGTAGCGGTTAGCACTACGCTGCGCTAAGAACCCGGCCACCCGAGTTCGATTCCAGCTCACGGCCACCAATACCAGTGACGATTATCTGAACTGGTCCTGGGCCTCCCCTAGGTCGACTCAGCCTCAAATGAGTACCTGGTGTGGTGTGTAAACATCGCCATTGGGGAGACAAAGGCGGCCGGGCGTACTGTAAGCCATCCACCCCCTCGTGTGCCGTTTCTCGCCTTCAAAGGTGCTCGCTAACAGCACTTGCCCCAACAGTCTGTTACAGGCTACACGGGCGGATCTTTGTCTAGATTTGTGACATCGCGGACACACGTTAGGGAAGTGCGTGACGGCACGTCTGTGAAGACGGACGCTCTTAACTGCCGTTTGTTGTTGTTGTGCCTGAGTCTCACCTGAACGTCCGTGACACATCTGCCGTGTGTGAGCGTGTCGTGCTGCTGCTGTAGGCGGCGCGGGAGTTCGGTGTGGAACGACCTTGAAATTGCGTCGCCACGAAATGTCGAGGCGCTGCGCGTCGGCGTCGAGTTTGCGACATCCCATCCGTGACAAAACAACGAGGAACCACTTAGGCGAGGGGGAGGGAGAGGTGTGGGGGGCGACGAAGCGAAGGTTGAATTCTCTCCCTCTCTCTAAAACAAAAAAAAACCCATCGACCATTAAAATTCCACTAGCGCAAAGTTGAGACGTTTTCTCCAGCGGGGACGACGCGTGCTGTCATCGATGCCCTCGGTGGGTCAAAGCGGAGGCAGAATCGGCAAACACATCCTTAAATCCCCCTCCACCCCCCGTTCTCTCTCCCCCCAGCAGTGTCAGATATCTCCATGAATAAGTGGTCGATCAGGAGTAAGTGGGTACCGTTGTCGGTCGCGCGTGAGGTGGGGATAATAGAACCTCTTCCAAGACGGTCTGGCTTGTATGGAAGAGTAGGCCAAATACCCTACCGAGGAGCGGAAAGGCCGGACTCGGGTCTGGCGGGGCAGGCGCGCTCACGGTCACCTCGCTCCTCCTCCGCGGGCAGAGATGCCTTCTCCCGGCACCAAGTCGCGTTGTCACCACCATCACCACCCCATCACAATCATCACCACCATTACCATCGTTATCGCTATTACCATCATCACCACCATCACCACCCCATCACAATCATCATCACCATTACCATCGTTATCGCTATTACCATCATCACCACCATCATCACCACCACCATAATCACCACCATCATCACCACCATTACCATCATCACCATTACCATCATCACCACCGTCACCACCACCATCACCACCATTACCATCATTACCATCATCACCACCATCACCACCACCATTACCATCATCACCACCATTACCATCATCATCACCACCACCACCACCATCATCACCACCATTACCACCATTACCATCATTACCATCATCACCACCACCATCATCACCATTACCATCATTACCACGGTTACCATCATCACCACAATCATCACTACCATTACCATCATCACCACCATTACCATCATCACCATCACCACCACCATCATCACCACCATCACCACCATTACCATCATCACCACCACCACTATCATCACCACCATTACCACCATTACCATCGTTACCATCATCACCACCACCACCATCATCACCACAATTACCACCATCACCACCACCAAGAGGAGACGACGAGGTGACGGACACGTGCACGCGTCAACTCGCGCACCGCGGCGTTTGCCACCGGCCGTGGCCACCTTCACGTCGCTCTCCCGCGATGTTTGTCGGCTCGTACCGCGTGTCTTTGAGGCGCGACGTCCCGACGTTTCGCCGCTCCACGTGCTGCGGGAAGCTTCTTCGGCAAATTAATTCCCCCCTTGAAGAAACCGCCGAGCAGGTGGAGGCAGCCGGCGAAACGTCGGAACATCGCGCCGAAACAACACGCGGCACCAGTGACAAGCCCGACAAACTACTCATCGTCATCGCCGCTCGAGAGAGAGCGAGCGAGCGAAAGCTGCAGTCAAATTTTAACCGAGAGCTGCAGTCCAATTTTCGCTCGAGAGAGAGAGCGAGAGCTGCGGTCCATCGCAGCAAGCAGCAGCACATCGCCCGTGCGTGCCTGCCGATGTTGGCATCCGCCACGCGTGTGTTTGGTGTCTGCGTGAGTGCCGTGCCGCGCCTCCCCACTACTCACCTCGCCCGCGCCGTCCTCCCCGCGCCGGGATGATGCCGTGAGCGCGTTGCGCACGAGCGGCGGCGGTGGCGGCGGCGCATTGCGCGCAGTCCCACGCCAGCAGAACGAGCGACACGAAGCTCAGCCTCATGGTGCAGCCTCCCCCAGCCCCCTTCCCCCACCCCCCCGCTCCACGTCGCGGAGCCCACCACGGTTCCTCTTCCCAGCTCGGCGTGGGTTTAAAACAACAACAATAACAACAAAAAAACAACAAAAAACCCCGGACGCGCACTGCAACTAACTAACACATGGCAACAGCGTTCGTCGCGTGAAGTAGTCCCTAATGCTTTCACTTGCTGCTGCGCGATTGATTGTTTGAACGGCCGGGGTATTGCGAGGTGACCCGGAGCGGTGGCATCTTTCTCGCGTGCTGACAACTGCTGGGAAATCTCCCTCCTCCCGTCGCGCGCGTCCTCTGCGGGTAGCCTCACCACCACCACCATCAGCCACCTGCTGTTGCTGCTGATGCTGCTGCTGTCAACCGGGACAGTTTCTCGGCGGGTGGGACCACTTTATACGAGTCCACGCTCAGCGGGCTCCTCCTGACGTTCCAATATCGTGCACGCGGACCACTTCCCGTGCACACCACGCTGCGTCCGCGCGACGAGTCCCGCCTTCGCTCGCGAGACGTCCAGCACCAGGGAACGCCTTCAGCTCACCCCACCGGGGGAACTGAAGTGAGTGGGATGAGGTATGGAGGGACCCGCGTGGTTCACCCCCCCCCCCCAATTCTCAGTGTCCCCCCCCCCCACCATGCCTACCGCCCGCCGTGCCGGCAAAGCTCGCATCGTGTTTGTGGGTTGTCGATCATCCGCACGAGGGGGACGAGGAAGACGAATCCGTGCACACGCGTGGATCGTGTCGAACGCTTTGTGACCGTGCGGTTTGAGTCCTCGGCAAGTGACCCTGAGTTGTTGCTGGTGGTGTTTGTGAACGCGAACTGCTGTAACCCGCTGTGTCGTTTGAACAGAAGCGTGGACACATTAACGATGGATATGACAAGGATGAATATGGGAAGGGGGCGGGGGGAGTGTGCAGAGTATGGAACGTGTGCGAAACCTGAAAAGCGTTCAAAGTAGCATCTTATCCTGCTGAGATTTATATAGCGCCTTCATGAAGGTGCTTTAACAGCAATACGAACGATTGTGCACAGCGTGATGATACTTTGAACGTGAGAAATGCGGGGTTATTGTAAGTGGTGGTGTAGTTTTGATGCAGTAGAACAAGAGGTGATAGGTGATAGATAAGGAGGGGGATCGTGAAAGCGCCTGGTCGTAGTTGGGGGAGGGGGGGGGGTGATTCTGTCAAAGAGCCGGGAGGCTGAGAAGTAATCGGGTATCGTTGCATTAGGAAGACGAAGGAGGCGTCGAGGTGCAGGAGCCAAGCGGGGGAAGGGGCCCAACCGCGATCGAGAGGGCGACGCTTGAATTTAGAACTGAGACGGCGACGAGAGACGCGGGCACTGTGGGGCAACGCGCGCAGTTTGAATGGCATCGATCACGCCGCCTGTTTGGTGGAGTGCCGGGCGAGGCCACGTCGCTCCAAGGGGGTGAATCGCCCGTGCCCGGTTAAGGACGAGGACAGGAGTGGCAGCCAAGGAATAGGTCCGCAGCCGAGAAAGAGCGAAACTTCCACCGGGGGGAGATGGAGCGATTTAAATCAATCAGTGAGCAGGTTTATGTTGTTTAACATCGCATGACGGGGAGGAAATTGCGGCGGCTTGGGAAAGGCCTTCATCCAGCAGTGGATTTACAGAGGGTTGCGATATCGCCGCTCTATGTGGTGCCCGAATCACTGCGAGATCGCTGCAACTCCCACGACACTTCGGCAATGCTATGCTGCGCTTTGTTCGCCCCATACGTAGCCAACCGTGCTCATCGAAGGTGCGATAAATTGGACGAGATCAGAAAAAAAAGTTTGGCTGGCTGGAGGGACGGACGGTGAGTGTCCAAAGAACGTGCGCCGCTGCTCGCACTGTATGTATTACATTCAAGTATTTTAACGCGATTTATAGTTTGTGTACAGACAGCTCTTTTAACAACACCAAACCAAAAAAAAATAACGCGACGTGCGTTGACTTTAAACGTTGGAGTCGGTGACCTTAACAAATGCCGCCTCCTCTCTGCCGTATGACGGAGCTTGCTTTGCACAGTGGTCAAGCCGACGGTGGGCAGCCGGGCCACGTGCAAGCGGAGCCGGCTGACAGGCGGCATCGTCGTCATTGATCGTCGTCGTCGTGATGGGGGGCGGCTCGCGCGTGGGACGAGGGAACCGGCGTTCGTGCACCGCCCGCGAATGACGCAGCGCGTGGGAGGGATGCGTGCCCTGCCACCAACCCCCTCCCTCCTCCTCCCGTCCGCACATCTCCACCACTCACTCTAAGACAAAGATTCCGCCCCCCCCTCCCCTGTGTAGCCTTAACAGTCTGTTGGGGCAAGTGCTGTTAGCGAGCAGCACCCTTGAAGGCCGTCACGGCACACGAGGGGGTGGGTGGCCAGCACCAAGCCCGGCCGTGTCTGTGTCTCCCCTGGCGATGTTTACTACACACACCGCACCAGCCACTCATTTTTTTAAGCTGAGTCGACCGAGGGGAGGCCCAAGACCGCTTTCAGATAACATCATCGTCACTGGTATTGGACGTGAGCGTGAATCGAACTCGGAGTGCGCCGGGTTTGTAGCTCATCGCGCTAACCCGCTGCACGAGCGCTCCCCACTCTAAAGACATCGGGACACAAGCGAGGTGCATCCACACGGCCGGAATCCAGGCGCCCACGGTCGTCTCGTTCAGAACTGGTGAAGCTAAGCAGGCGTGAACCTGGGCAGTGGGGGATGGGTCACCACTGCCACGAACAACTATATCGGCTGCTGCGGGACTACGCCCAATCAATTGCTGTTGCACACACAATTCGCACCGACCAGCGAGGTGAAGTATGGTCAAATTTATTTGAGTGCGGTCAAATGGATTGCAATGCTAATTTTTTTTTAACCCCCCCCCCACCACACAGCTCCGTTGGAAACATGATGGCGCCTTCCACGTGGCCCTCGTCAAAGTTGCCCGCGTGAGAGTCGCTCGGTCGGGTTCGTGTGTGGTCGGTGAAAGTCCGCGTTAGACGGCGGGGACGAGGGTAATAGGAAGACGTGAGCTGTCGTCTAACATTCACACCTGAGCTGTCGTCTAACATTCACACCTGAGCTGTCGTCTCACGTTCACACCTGAGCTGTCGTCTTACATTCACACCTGAGCTGTCGTCTTACATTCACACCTGAGCTGTCGTCTCACATTCACACCTGAGCTGTCGTTTCACATTCACACCTGAGCTGTCGTTTCACATTCACACCTGAGCTGTCGTCTCACATTCACACCTGAGCTGTCGTTTCACATTTACACCTGAGCTGTCGTTTCACATTCACACCTGAGCTGTCGTCTCACATTCACACCTGAGCTGTCGTCTTACATTCACACCTGAGCTGTCGTCTTACATTCACACCTGAGCTGTCGTCTCACATTCACACCTGAGCTGTCGTTTCACATTCACATCTGAGCTGTCGTCTCACATTCACATCTGAGCTGTCGTTTAACTGTCACTCGGTCAAACATGGCAGCTTTCTATTGTCCCATTCATTCTTCCAAGGGGAATTCCCGAATGCAATTGGGCTTGATAAAAAATAATGTTCATCCCTTTGTGATATGGATCCTGTTTGAGGAAGGGGGGATGGGTGGATGGGATTCCAGTCGTCACTCACTTTAGCCGTGGTCTGGAAATCAGCATCAGAATCTGTATTTATACTGGTCTGGAAATCAGAATCAGAATCTGTATTTATACTGTTCTGGAAATCAGAATCAGAATCTGTATTTATACTGGTCTGGAAATGAGAATCAGAATCTGTATTTAGACTGGTCTGGAAATGAGAATCAGAATCTGTATTTATACTGGTCTGGAAATCAGAATCAGAATCTGTATTTAGACTGCAGCAGGAATCCGATGAGCTATAAAGCGATGTTCCACAGATGTCCAGTAGGGACAGGTCAGATCGTCACAGCAGTAAACAAAAGACGAAAACAGTGCCAAGTATAGGAATGCAATTGGTAGTTCGGTGTGTGGATTCATAATAACGGGAGGATTTAGAGCTGAGTCGACGTGCCAACGACTGGCACCGGTGATGTCGACATGAAACTTTGTAAGGGAAGCTCACGAAGGATGCGACTGGGCAGTGCCAGCAGACCACCTCCCAGTAGGCAGCCTTCCCCACTGGTCAATCTTGTAATCCACACCACGTGGGTATGTCCTGCGACTTCCTGCCAGAATGGTTTTGACACTTGACTTGGCATAAAAGTGCACCCAGCCTGGCACAGCGTGCCAAATGACAGCTGGTGTGTGTATAACCCTGCCTGGGTATTCTGCCATCAAACACTCGCCACCACAACTCCCAATTGGCAATGGGGCAGTTGTGGAGAGAGTGGAAGGTTTTCCATACCTGGGCAGTGTGCTCATGACCCAAGGCCGTAATTCAAATATATATTGGGGGGGACACATCCCCCCCCCAATATTCACATATGCTCAAAATGTCCTCCCCCCCAATATATTGCTATTAAGAAAATAATTGCTATGCAATGTAAATAAAAATAACAATTTGCTAAACCTTGGCCACAATATCTGGACTTGTCTTCATATAAATCAATGCATAGATTTATGTTTATATTATTGTGGTTATGGTGGTACTATTATTAATCCATAATCTCTGCCATTACATACAATGAAACAAGAAATGGTAAAAAAGTAAAAACAGAGCAATGTAATACAATACACTATTAGACATCGTTGTAAAACATAAAAAAAAATGTCCATCCCATGTGTTAGTGCATTTTTTTATATTTTAGGCAGGAAATTATTTTTCAAATTTAGATATTTTTCTGGGTTGGGACCCCCGGACACCCTGGAAGATTTGGTCGCCCCCAATGTTGACTCCATGGCTATGGCCTTGTCATGACCGGCTCCGTTTTGACAGCAGAGGTCTCACTCCAGGCAGGCGGCATTATCTTTCATCGGCTGCATAACGCTGTGTGGAGGCTACCTGGTCTGTCGCTCCATACGAAGCTTCAGGTCTTCTCAGTCACGGTTATGCCCTCCCTTCTCTGTGCTTGCGAAACGTGGACCCCCCCTAATGGAAAATCTTTGCCGGTTAGAAACATTTAGGCTGGCCTGCCTGCGATCCATCCTGGGTTCAACCAGGCTAGATTGTGTGAGGAGCTCACAAATCGGTGAGCTCCTCCGGCAGGCAAGGCTGCATTAGTTGGGTCATGCAGCCCTCATGCCCGGCCACCGCATGTCTAATAGGGGGGGGGGGGGGGGCTAACGGGCGCGGCACGGGCTAGTGAAGAGATGGAGTGATGTGGTACAAGAGGATGTCGAACTGAGTGGACTTGCCGATGACTGGTACCAGCGGTGTCAAGATCGGCCTCTGTGGAGGAGGCTCATGAAGGATGCTGCTACTGGGCAGTGGGAGGCAGTCGCCCTCCAACAATAACAGAGGGCAGATGAGTGATGCTCACAACAACCTTGTGGAGCACCCGTTGGCTAAAGCTAAAAAAGTTGACACAATAGGGGCACAGCTGGGGCATCATCCAGTCATCTCCGTCAGTCAACCCATGGCACCTGGGT